ATAGTAAATATAAAAGTAATTCGAAAGTTTGATCAATGTTGACGTAATAACCGGCCAACTTTGATCGGTTATTTTGCAGAAAATAACAATTACCGACCAAAGGTGGTCGGTAAATGCTTCCCCTATATTAACCGACCAACGTTGGTTGGTAATTTTAAATATAAATTCTTAAATATTATAAAATATTTTAAATAATAAAATAATTATTAAAATTTTAAAAATTAGATCTAGATTACCGACCAACATTGGTCGGTAATCCAAAATTTTCTTGTCTAGCCAGCTGGGTCAATTCGTTGACCAATTTACCGACCAACGTTGGTCGGTATTTAGTTTTAAAAAAATGTAAAAAAAATTTTTTCCAGTTTCCGTCCAACCTGAACGGTTTTTGGTCGCTTTTTTTGACCGACCAACGTTGGTCGGAAATAGTTGGTCGGTTTTTAGCAGATTATTAGTAGTGTAAGGCTTCGACTAAGTTCGTATTGTATTTTGGGACGTGTTGGTATATTTGGTCAAGGTCCCGGGGGCCTCGGGTGGATTCTGCATAGTTAACGGATCGGATTATGGACTTAAGGAAAGCTGGGGGATTCTGGTTGCTGGTGCAACCGCTTGTGCGGAAGCTTCATCGCAGAAGTGGCCCTGCAGAAGCGAGGCAGTGGACCGCAGAAGCGGCTAGAAGGGAGATGGTAAGAGGCCGCAGGTGCGAAAGAATTCCCACACCTGCGTGACCGCAGAAGCGGCCCGGGAGTCGCAGAAGCGGTAGGGAATGAGGTAGGCTGGAGGCGCAGGTGCGAGGTTTGTGCCGCACCTGCGAGATCGTAGAAGCGGATTCTTGGTCGCAGGTGCGGCGCCGCCTGGTCCGCAGATGCGAAGGCAGGCACTACTAGAAATTCACTATTTTTCGACTACCAAAATAGTCAAAAATAATCGGAAAAGTACCTATTTCGACTACTTTCTGACTGATTTAGAGTAGTCGGAAAAAGGTACGTCGGAAAAATATTTCCAACTACTGTAGTCGAAAAGTTTTTCCGCCAAAAATTTGAAAAGGGAGCTATTTTCCGACTGAAGTATTCGAAAAATAAAAAAAATTATTATTTATTTTAAAAAATATTTCCGACTACAGTAGCCAAAATATTATATAAATAATAATTATTTATTAGTTATTTTTATTTTATTTTCCGACCAAAGTAGTCGGAATGTTGAATTTCCTGAAAATTTTCTATAATCTTTCCGACTACAGTAGTCGGAAAATGTATTATTCTGGGTACATTTTTCGACTACAGTAGTCGAAAATCTAGGTTAATTTTTGGCAGAATACTTCCATTTTATTATGCACACCGCCTGCCAATTGACCAATACTATAAACAACCAATTCAACCAACCAATTCCAACTACACAACTAATTCCAACTAAACAATCTAATAATCAAACCAACCAATTCCAACTTCAACAAACAAACATTCAAATCCCATAATATCAAAACAAAATATTTGTTAAAGTCTAAATATTCAATATCAAGTCTAAGTAGATAATACACATCGACACTAATATAATAAAGTCTAAACATATATACCACATTATCCAAATCTACCATAAAGTCTATGTATAAATCTAAACATCCAAGAATAGTAATCAACCATAAACCACTACTATGCATTAGATTTAGTCTCTTCATCATCATAAGAGTGGGGCATGTGTTTTTTCATGAATTTATCCACTCTAGCAATTTGAGTTTCGGCTGTTTCACACCGTTTCGACAGCAACTCAATTTGCTTTCGCATTGTGTCCATTTCTTCCTGATTTTGCGCAGTAGGAGCATCCGAAAATAATGGCGATGGACGAAATGAGGAAGGTCGGTGTACTCCAAGTCCGTAAACTCTTCCTTTGGATACACCACCTGCCACATCTGTCCATATTGAAACTATATCATCGGGTGACCGTTGGATTGAGATACCATCATCAGAAGTAGGTTGCGTCTGACACCATTCATCCAAGCTTCTATGATATCCATCCTGAAATAAAAGTAATAAGGATTATATAAATAAATTAATATCAAAGCAAAATGAAAATAGTCTTAAAGTTGTGATCTTACATATTGTTCCGATGCACATATCTCAACCCATCCTTTTCTTGAACCGTTTTTCTTCTTTTTCTTATGTGTCTCCGCAAAGACCTCAGCATGAGATACTGATCCCCCTTTTAACTTTTCTTGCAAAATTAATAGGATATATAATTTAGAAAAAAGTTTAATTGTGTTTAAACAAAACCAAGAAAAATAAAGGTGAAAGTTACCAATATCCGTCGATGCGCAGCAAAACTCATAGAAGAGAAGTCACTGTTTTTCTTCTTACTTTAACTCATTGTATGAAGTCACTGTTTTTCTTCTTACTTTAACTCATTTTGTTGCTTTCAAGAAACCAGTAATACTTAATTAAGACTTCAGCAGATTTTGACAATTAATTGTGAAGAGAATGAAAAGCTCTGAAGTCAATAATATCAATCACAAATACAAAAGGGGTGTATATTCTTGAGGTATATTAAGTATCTGCATCTAAACCAAACTGCAACAATGCATTTTACATGAAAGAAAAGTGTACCAATAGAAACACAGAGACAGGACCTTTTATTGTTCTTACTCTCTGCCTTGACATATTCACAAATATTCTTAACATTTTATTTTAATCTTATCCCGGAAAAAGAAGTACAACTCTGCAATATAGCACCTTACTTATTAAATACTTAAAGCTTTTAGTCAATTGAGTGAACTCCCATGTAGTTCAACAAGATTGAGATTCCATCTCAATATAAGTTTACTCTTATTTTTGTAGTTCTAAAATTAGTTCATTCCAACTACTATTGTAAGTTCCATGTCACTCAAATTTAACATCTCCTAAGCTTTTGACACTAAGTAGCTACAGACTAATTAACATGTGCTTTCAGCACTCAAATTGAACACACACAGACCACACGCGCACACACACACAAATACATATATATACACATAAATCCATACATATAGAGATAGAGTGTGTGTGTCTGTGTAGAGGGGAGAGAGGACAAAACAGTTTTTATAGGACAAAAAAGAAGAAGCAAGAAGCTGTTTCCTTTTTTCAAACATCCAAATGAAAACAGAAAGACTAAAAAAATAGGAAAAAAAAAAAAAAAAAAAAAAAGCTCGAACTCCAAGCAAGTAGTACCAAAATAATATGAAATTACAACATAAATTCCTATGTACATTTGTTTAAAAATGGAACAAGAACAGTCTAGAAAAAGCTCGGTCACAATTGGTATTTTCTATTTGCATTACAGTGCTCTTACGGTAGATTCTCTATTTGCACTATCCAATCAACTAATTAGACAGTAGATATAAGAAAGCAAAAGCTGGGTCACCATCGGTATTTTCAATAAGCACGACTAAATAAAGCATCAAAATATAGTTGCACTACCAAAGATCTGGAAACATTGAGGGCACTCCTATATTCCACTATTTGAAGGGAGAAAACCAACAGAGAGATCTGTAAAATTGAAGAAATATGTAAATGTAATTTGTATTACAAGTAATATCCAGGGCATAATCACTTACAACAACATTTATGCCTCTAAGGTGTAAATAAAATCTTAACATTAACCATAGTGGTGACGTTGATTTTGCACACTAAAAACGAAACCCTAGTCTTGGCCGAAGATTAAACGGAGAGAGAGAGAAATAGAGAGAGAGCATACTTGATGAAGACCCGTCACGAATTTTGCAGGTGCCGTTGAGAGCGTACTTGAGAGAAAGAGGCAAGGAGAGAGTATAGAGAGAGACACAGAGTAAGAGAGAGTGTGTGTGGGAAAAAAGAAATAGAAAAATAAGGGATTAGGTAGAAAATAACTTAACTTTTCCGACTTCTGTAGTCGCTAAGTACGGTCTGCCAATCTTCCAATCTTCCAACTACTGTAGTCGGAAACTATATATTATTTAATTTTTTTAATTAATAAAATTCTGACTACAACTGTCGGAACCATTTGGTCAAAAGTTGTTTGACTTCACTATCTAATGTTCCGACTACGGTAGTCGAAAAATTATATGCGCAAAATTTTTCACGAAACTTTACGATTATATTAGTCAAAAATATAGTTGGAATAATTCTTAAAAATAAATAAATAAATATGAGGTTTCCGACTACAGTAGTCGAAAAATTGCGACTGGCATTTTGTAGTCGGAATTTATAGTCGGAAAAAGGTATTTTCTCGTAGTGAGGGGACTGAAGGGAACCGCGGAAGCGGTATTTTGGCCGCACCTGTAGAATCGCATAAGCGGCTAAGGGACCGTAGGTGCGAGAGGTCGCTGGGCAGTGTGTTCTTTTAAGAACGGGATTTGGCCCATTTTCTTCCATTTTCACTTGGTTGGGGCAATTTTGGTGAGTTTCAAGGGAAGATTTTCATCAAGCAACACAAGGTAAGTGATTCTTACCTATTACAAGTTAAATACATGATTTGTATATGGATTTAAACATAGAAAATCGTGAAAACTTGGGATTTTGGGTTAAAAACCTAAAATTTGATATTTTTGGATTTTTCCACAAAATTGGACATGAAATTCGGAATAAGTTACATATTTTAGTTCGTGGTATTATGGGTAAAGTTTATCTTCGAAAATTTTCGGAATCTGGGCACGCGGGCTCGAGAGTTGTCTTTGTTGGCTTTTGAGCAGAGTTGGGTATCATTTTAAATTGTTAGATTATACGTATTGGAGTATATTTTGATTGGTTTGCACATTGTTTGTCTAGTTTTAAATAGACGGGCATCGGGTTGAGGTGTTTGAGTGGTGTTGGAGCCTGTTATGGAACTTCGGTGCGAGGTAAGTCTCCTGTCTAACATTGTGAGGGGTAAACTACCCCTAGGTGATATTTATTATTATGTACAACTAGTTGTGGGTGCTACGTATGCACGAAGTGACGAGAGTTTGTATGTAGCTAAAGCATGTTTATGTCCGGGTAGACTTAGGATCTTATAATATAATATTTGAATTATTTGAACTTATTTTGTTGGCTTAATCAATTAAAATTATAACTGAATTTGATTTAGATATAAATATATGTATAATAGGCCGAGCCCTAACACTTTGAGTTGTGGGCGAGTTATTTGAGAAACATAAAGATTATATTCGTTATGTGCTCATGTACTATATTGTAAACATGTGTCTCATAATTCAGTAACTTCCTTCCTTTTCCTTGTGAAGCGGGTCGAACGCCTCAACAATATATAGATGCATTTATGGTTCGTGCCGCACGACCCTAAGCAGTGTACACATTATTCCGGATCGAGCCGAACAACCTCGGCAGAATCGTACATTATATCGCTAGTAGTCCGAATATTCACGAGCTAAACTTTTCACTGATGCTCGATATTTTATATGGTATTCCTTATTTATTTGATAATAACACGTGACATTTTTCTGAGCTTTTAAGGTAGAATACAAGATTTAGAAATTTATGCTTTGAAAGAAGAAATTGGAAGATTATGTAACTTGCAGATTTACCCCATCATTGACGTATGCCTCATATCTGCTTATGTCTTATTATATTATTTTATTGGACCTTTAGTAAGTGTTAATGTTGACCCCTCGTCACTATTTCTTCGGGGTTAGGCTAGATACTTACTAGGTACGCGTTGATTTACGTACTAATGTTGCACTTCTTCACTAAATGTGCAGGATCTGGCAGGTTCATTTGATGATCACCTTGGCGCGTAGGCGCACCTGTTGAGGAGACTTTATGTGAGCTGCATTCCAGGCTATGCATCACAGACCACCGAGTCTCCATTGTACTATTTATTTTATTCTGTCTTATTACATTCGGGACAGACGTTGTAGTATTATTGTACTCCTTAGAAATTGCTCATGCACTTATGACACCGGATTTTGAGAACTTTTACTGGTTGTTTGTTATTGTAGATCACGTATTTATTATCATTTTACCCATATATATTCCATTTTATACTATTTAAGTAATGGAGATTATGATCTCGAAAGTAATAAAAGGAGTAAATAAATTGATAAATCAACATTGGCTTGCCTGGGGGCGGCGTCAGGTGTTATCACGACCTATAGTGAATTTTGGGTCGTGACAGCTTGGTATCAAAGCGTTAGCTTCACTTAGGTCTCACGGGTCATGAGCAAGTCTAGTAGAGTCTTGCGGATCGGTACAAAGACTTTTGTACTTATCTTTGAGAGGCTACAGGGATGTTAGGAGCACTTCTCTTCTTGATTTCTTCATCGTGCGGTTTGATTCCATTGAGGTTTGTGCCTTTATTTCCTTCCTACTCGATCTTACGCGACGTGGGGCGCTTGTTATCAATTGGGAGTCGAGTAGTTGTATTGGTACTATAATGCATTATGGTTCGCCGGTGTTATGGTCTTCTCTGATTTTTTCTTCGGGGTAGGGTGTTGTGAAATGGTGCCTGAGGGGCGGTTGTCAGAGATAGCAGTGTGCAACGGTTCAGAATCGAATTGGTATTTCTAATGTTGATGGCTCGAGAAAGATGATCTTCTGGGAGGTTTAGAGTTGGTAGCAATTCAATAGTTCCGGTGCTACAGATATGGATTTGATTTTAGGCAACATTTGGGCAGCGAAGTACTAGGAAGGACATGGCAGGAGGTGTCTCGCGGTGGGTCAATTACTAGCAGGTCAAGTATGAGAAGCGGAGGTCGAGAAATTGCTTAAAGGAGATGGTTTGACCGAAGTGGGAGTAGCAGAGTAGCATAGGGATTCTGTGGCAGGATAGTCACTTACCTTGAAGAAGATTTGAGCGATTTGGGAGGTATGGTGGAAAGTGACTAGGTCCACGGATTATAATTGGAATGGTGGTTACAGTACGGAGAAAGATTGAATATGACAGAAAGGAGTTGCTTGAAATGAAGAGGGGTATGAAGATTTGATTATCGTTTCTGATGCAATATAATTTAAGTTTGGAATGTATTGTTGAAATTTTAGTTGATGTCAATGGGGAAGGAACAGACTTATACAGCTGATGGACGAGCATGGGCTCAGGAGAATTTACTGGTTACGTGGTGGTTGTAACCAGCATAACGTCATTAAAATGTGTCGATAAGAAAATCCACAGGTGGGTTATCTCCTGTGAGAAAGTTAGCGGTTGCGTGATGTTGATGAAGCTTCTGCGAAGCACACTACTTGCTACCCAATAAGATGTTAAATATGTGATTGTTACTGATGATTCAGAATGTTCATGAAAAGCTTAACAAAAGTCTTCGAGAAATTTGGCGGGTTAATGGCGAGATCATGGTAATTGAGAATGAGGAATCGTTGTGGTCTCTGAATTATGTGGTGGTAGCTTAAAGCTAAGTAGGGGAGCCCACTATTTACAACTGGATTGCGTGGTTGTCTGCATGTGTGGTTTCTGGTTATCGGTGTATTAGTGAATTATTTATGGCTATGAAAAGGAAACATCAGGGGTAATTCAGGAAAGAACTTGATGGATGTGTGCTATACTTCGCCTTATCGATTGAGGTGCAGGTTTTGGGAAGACCTGGAGTTTATGCTTCTTGTGGATGTAATGTACAAGGAAAAGAATTCAGTCGGTTGCTTCTTTGAGGGGGTGTTCATGCTCTAGCAAAGCATTGAAGTTTCGTTATATTCGGGATCAGGTCAGAGTGGGTGACTCTCAACAATGGACCTAGTGGGTTCAAGAATTAAAGTGCAGTGCCTAAGGATTTCGAGTCCGCTGTATGGTTAAGGATCGAGATTTCACAGTGGATTACGAACGAGACTTGGAATGTTTTATGTTATCATCGGGTATGCGGTGCAGTATTGGAGGAAAGGAGGAAATAGCTTCAGATTCGCGGAAGGTCTTGCAGAATGGGTGCAGCAGTTGGAGATGTTATTGTGCGCATAAGAAGTATGGGATGATTCATGGGTATTGAGACGATATGGTCTCGCGATTCGGGTCACTCGGGATGAGTGCGGATTGAGTTCGGTATGTTATGAATGGAGCTATTATATTTCTGAGGCAAGTCCAGAGTAAATTAAAAAAGAAGTTGGGTCGGTTAGTAATGGTTGAATCAACATGATTGTGGCAATGATAAGTTCCGTCGGCGTGTGAAGTTATACAAGTGGTTTGTGGATGTACGTGCGGGCTTGACAGCCACCGTAACTTGATTGATTTGGGAGGTATTTAATTTAAATGGCCTTGTTGTGAAAATGGATTCCAGAAGAGTCATGACGGTCTAGATCACGACTTGAGGTTTGTATTTTTTGCGGTTTGGGAATTTAGTTGTGTGTTGCATTGGTTCTTCTAAAATGAGTTAAGTAAAAGGTTTATAGCCAATGAAGTGTTCATTCTACTAGTAGTTCTGGGGTTTTGATTATTTCTTGTACTCTCGTATAGCAGCATGATGGGTGCAGTGAACGGCATGGAAATTGGAAGTTTAGGATCAAGGTTGCGGTTCGGTGTTGATAAGAATGTCACGAGCTCGGGTGAGCAGATAAGAATTCAGATGTTTAGAGTAAGCTGGCGTTATCTTAATGTCTCCTGAGAATGGTGTTTTGTGGAAGAGGCATTTTGTATTGATTTGCAGATTGTGATTTGCCTTACACAATTAGTACGGTTGGTGGTATGGAGGTGCAGATTTTGCTACCTGGTGCGGAAGGTCGTGGGAGCATTCCCTACAAGAAGATTGTATAAGCGTGGCATGTTAGCCATTTGATTGTGAAAGATTAAAACAAAGTATGAAGGTTATGGTGATATCGTAAATGTGAGAGTTTATGCCTGAGAGGTGTCCTATTCATTAGGTTATGGACCGTGTGAGTTTGTTTCGGATTTGACGGTTGTTCGTATGTGTCGTGAATAGGGCCATTGTGGATCTTTGGAAGGTAACTAGCCCAATATGGTATGATCAGAATCGGTTCGAGGTCCATTGGTGGGTCTAATATGAGTGTATGCTATACGCCAGGTCGGATGTGTTCGGTCATCTTAGCATTGCTTATGGAGGAGTCATCGGGCATTGGATGTCATTCTCGTCGTCAGTTATCCCGTGTAATCTCTATTGTGCCATGTGGGTTGTGACACGGCTTGATTATTCGCACATGTGTTGAGGTCCCGTGTAGCTTGTGGTGTTAGGTGAGTAGGATGACTCTTGAGATGCAGGCCATTTATTACACCTTAGTTGTGCTTGAGTTTCGTAGCATATGGCGCTATCCATCTCCCCAGGATTTGTATTATGGACTTGGTGTGCTTGTGGTCGATATTCATGCATTTCGTAAGTATAAGCGTTACAGCTTGTGTGTGTTTTCTTCTTGATTGTTGTGTGTGGATCGGGTGGCACGCCATCACAGTTATATTTTTTGGATCAGGTTGCACGCTGCAATATTGTCATATTTAGATCGGGTTGCACGTTGCAACAATGTCATGGCGGATCGGGTTGCTTGCCGCAATAGCGAGATATTGAGCATAGTTCCTTACACTCATTTTTTGTGTCTTGTTTTTCATCCCTGGGTAGGTTTACAGCATCTATTCGGCCGTTTTATGCGTTACACAGGTTGGATAGTCCTTCTCCAGAGTCCGTTCTTCCTTATGTAACACATTCGAGTTGTAGCTTATTGGCATATTGTGGGCGTCATATAAGATTTTTGGCAGTGTTTGAGATAACTTATTGCCTAAGCAACTTGTACTGGGTGAGGCGAGATTATTGGACCTGAAATTAGTGCAATCAGACTTATATAAGGTACATTAAAGAGAAAATATCATTATTTTTGTTCATAATGAGGTAATGATTCTTTTCAGGAGGAGAGACTCCATGAATTATTGATTCAGCAGGTGGTTATGAGTTTCTACACGTCTCTTTCGTCGTGGCAGTATTGCGAGAGTTGAAACAAGACTTATATGTGTCATGAGGTGTGTTGTGGGCATCGAATTCGTGAAATTGCATCTATTGTGGTCGGGGGATGTTTTTATGGGTAACCGACTTATGTGGTGCATGGTGTGATTTCGGCATAGGTGCATGATCATGTTTTGGTACAGTGTGTGGTGATTCGTACGGTGTTCGTATGTTAGAATCAGGTCTTGTAGAGAAATTCAGAAGTTGGAATTTGGTTCTAAGGCTTATTGACTAAATAAACGGGAGGATCTTCAGTCGTGCTCGAGCTAATGTGTTCAACTAGATTGTGGTGGCACGGGTAGGTACACGAGGTGTTAAACAATGATTTTGGACAACTCCGGAGCAGTCCCTAGCACGTTCGAGGACGAACGTATGTTTAAGTGGGGGAGAATGTAAGGACCCGATCGGTCGTTTTGAGCTCTAGCGCATCGTTCAGCGGTTAGAGGCATTGAGTAGCTTC